AATACAAGCAGATCTCAAAAAGAAGATTGGTTCTGATGTATTTATGTAGAAGGAATTCTACCAGTGTGAAATGACAGATGGAGATTCCTGAACTGCGTTTATATTTGATACCTGTTTTTGTGGGGGATATGTATCTAAAAGAAACCTGGGAAAAGATTGGTGTTAACAATCAAGTTGTCCAGGCAGGGCCATGTTTCTGAACTTGTGCTCAGATTTCAGATTTTTACAGTGAATTTACTTTTGTAATAAAATATGTGTGTATACTTTTTATAAAAAAAAAAAGTCATTTTCAAGTTCTATCCTGAAATACAGTGTTATGAGTGATAGGATATTATTCATATGCAAACAAGAAAGACCCATTAACACAATTATTCAAATATATAACCCCTACAGCTAAAGCTAAAGAAGAAGAAATTAAGAATTTTTACCAAAGCTTGCAGTCTGAAATTAACCGATCATGCAATCAACGAAAGGGAAAAACAATGTATACAAATTTTATGAACTTAGTATGTAAACCAGTATAAAATTTTAAAAATGATGCATTAATGATAATTGGTGACTGGCATGCAAAAGTTGGAAACAGTGAGAAGGAATGTTGTTGTTGTGTTGTTGTGTGCCATCGAGTCTCTTGCGACTCATAGCGACCCTATGTACAACAGCCCTAAACTCCGCTCTGTCCTGTGCCAATCGCACTGTCTCTGACACTCCCATCCCAATTATCCCAGTCACTGAATCAATCCACCTCATAGAGGGCCTTCCTCTCCTGCGATGTCCCTCCCTCTCCTGCGCTGTCCCTCCACCCTACCAAGCATGATGTCCTTCTCCAAGGACCGGTCTCTCCTCACAACATGTCCAAAGTATGTTAGACGGAGCCTCAGAATCCTTGCCTCCAAGGAGCCACCCGGTTTAACCCTTTCCAGGACAAATCTGTTTGTTTTCCTAGCAGTCCATGGTATTCTCAATACTCTTCTCCAGCACCACAGCTTAAAGGCATCAACTCTCTGATGCATAACAAGTGATTGCGAAGACCATGGCCTGTATCAGACGCACCTTAGTCTCCAGAGAGACACCATTGCTCTTCAGTACTTTGGAGAGGTCCCTAACAGCAGACTTTCCCATGGCAATGCGCCTTTTAATTTCCTGGCTACTGGTGCCAAGACTGTTGACTGTGGAGCCAAGCAAACTAAAGCTGTGTAAGTTGAAAAATAAAGGCTTGGTAGTAGAAACAAGGTTGGAAATAAAATTATTGAATTTTGTATTTACAATGATTCATTCATTCATTGCATTTGTGGAAGAAATCCATTAATTTGTTGGAGAAGTTCAATATCAACAGTCAATAGGCAGAGGTGGACTTTGGATCAGAACATCAACTACTCATACGCAAATTCAAATTGAGGCTTAAGAAAATGAAAATAAGTCCATAGGAACCAAGATATAATCTTAAGCCAATTCCATCTGAATTTCAAGATCATTTTAGCAATAAGTTTGAGGCATTGAACACCAATGATAGAAGACTGAAAAAAAAATTAATGGAAGAGTTAAATGAATAATTAAGATCCTAGTCTATAAGCATGAACAACATTTAGAAACTTTCCACAATAACTTATTATTATTGAAATTAACCAAATGTTAGGCTTAAAACCTTAGAAAAAGCACCAAGAGAGCTGAGTTCATGATCAGCTTTGAAACTGCAATTTTCGTCATCTCTCAAATGAGAAACTGAGACTCTAGGTTCTCTTCCAGTTATAACCTTGTAGGCTTCTTACCCAACCTCAACTTTCCACTTCTTTCTGAACATTCATCATTTGTTGAATGCTGATTTCATATCAGGCACTGTAAAGAGCCTTGTTGTTATGTGCCCTCAAGTCACCTGTGACTCTTAGTGATCCTGTGCCCAATAGCCTTGAACCCTGCCCTAGCCTGAGCCAATCTCACTGTCTCCAACACATCTGTCCCTAATATTCTAGTCACTGTGACAATCCATCTCATCCAGGGTTTTTCCCTTCTGCACTGCCTCTCCACTCTTTTAAGCATGATGTCCTTCTCCAAGGACCGGTCCTTCCTGGAAATATGCCCTAAGTATGTGAGATGGAGCTTCAAAGTTCTTGCTTCCAGAGAGCACCTTGGTTTTATCCTCTCTAGGACAGACTTGTTTGTTCTCTTGGCAGTATGTTCAGTACTCTTCTCTTGCACCACAACTCAAAGGCATCAATTATTCTTCTGTCATCCTTAGTCATTGTTCAGCTTTCTGATGCATAGCAAGTAATTGTGAAGACCATGGTCTGAGTCAGGCACACCTTGGTCTCTAGACTGACATCTTTGTACTTTAGCACTCTAAAGAGGTCCCTGACAGGAGACTTTTCTAATCCAATTTATCTTTTGATATCCTGGTTGTTGGTTCCAAGAGTGTTGATTGTAGACCTTAGTAAGCTAAAATTATTAATAATTTCAATCGGTTTTCCTGCTATCATGGTGCTGCCAACTGGTACAGTGGTGAGAATTTTTGTCTTCTTTATGTTAAGCTTCAATCTATATTGAAGCCTATATTCCTTGACCTTCTGCAGCAAATGCTTCAGGTCTCAGTCTCGGCAAGCAAGGTTGTATCAGCTGCATAACTCAAGTTGTTAATGAGTCTTGCTTCAATTCTGATGCCACATTGCTCTTCATAACGACCAACCTTATATACTTTATTTATGTAAAAAGAGCCTTGTTTTTATTGTTGTTGTTTTTGTTAAGTGCCATTGAGTTAACTATAACTCATAGCGACCCTATGAACAAAGACCTGACCTTGTTCTATAACTATCATTGTTTGTCTATGTTCATAGAGTGTCCAGAGGCACGTGGTTTAGGCAAATCTAATCAGCTGACACCCAATTGTGGATGAAAAAAACAAAACAAAACAAAACAAAACAACTCAACCAAATGTTCCAGACTCAAGCCTCACCAAGACGCAAGCAACCATCTTCCAGAATCCAACCACTTCACACGAGCCTCCAAGCTGCAGACTTAGTCCAGTGCTACCACTTATAAAAAAAGAGCTTTGCATACTTTATTTATAACTGGGGTAATGAGGGTAGGTGTGTCAGAGACAGTGAGATTGGCTCAGGGTAAAGTAGGATTCAGAGCTACTGAACAGGGTTCAGTGCGTAGGTTCTCCATGAGACATAGTCTACTTGACAACACATAATCACTACCATATACTTTATTTAATCTCCACAGTAACCCTGTATAATAAGTATGGTCATGCTTATTTTACAGATGCACACAAAGATGTCAATATCCTAACGAATTTGCCAAAAATTACATTACTTGCATTGTTATGATTTGAAACCAGTGTCTCTGATAAGAGTGTCTATTACTGCATCTGCTCCTCCTACATCTTCATGCTCCAGTGAAATACTAAACTAACCTTTAAAGAAGTATGGGGACTTCCGAGAAGGATATGGAAGAAGATCACATTTTAGAAGAAGGGATATTAAATAATGCTTGGCGACAAAGTCGAAGAATGGCAGCTGAGTAAAAGTCTCAGAGAAAGAAGTGAGAGGGATCAATTGGTGCCAGGTTATGAAATGTCAGATTGTGAAGTTTGGGTTTTATCATCCAGGAAATGCTAATCTTCCAAAAAATTTATATGTCAGCAAATGGCATCAGTAGGGTTACTTAGGATGGGCATCTGTTAGGGATGGAAGTGGGGTGAAAGTAGAAGGTAAGAAACCAATGAAGGAGCTTAGGATAGAGGTTTGGATTTTACTTTCCTTTCTACTCTAAAGCCCAAACAAAACTGGTGCTCAAACTGTCAAAAATGTTACTCCTATTCAAAATAACTTCCTGGAGAGATCTGCTCATGTTCTCTTTGGGGAATTACCACATGGTACATGGAGATTCTTCTTGTTCTCATCACCTTCCGTTTCATGTCCAATATTAGTCATTCAGACAAAAGGACGGGGGTCACAAAGTGAGAGGTGCAAGTTGCTTCCCAAACACACAGTTTGCACCTCAACTTCATTTATGTGGGTGGAATCTCACAGAAACCATGAGTCCATTCATTGCCAAGAGAAATGTGGAACACTTTTGCAAGGGCTACATAGCCCATCAATCCTGAAAATCCAGTTGAGAGTCAAGGAAAAGATCTCCAGACTCAAAGAAGGTGTTCAGCTGTGTTTTTGTTCTTCCTGTAAAATGCTCATAAGGGCTGTGCCTCAATTCTTTATCCTTCCCCCCACCATCCCCCCAGAATGGATAGCTTCCCACAGCCATTGAAGCTCTGCCCGGGAGCTCCCATAACAGACAGGATGAATAGTGGTTTCTAAAGGAGCTCCCCCACAAGTCCTTCTTTTGTTTATCTCTGTTCCTGTCTGAGTGTTCTAGGCCACAGAAGCTCCAGAGTGCTAGGGCTTCCTGCCACACAGTTCGCACCTGGTGGTCTAAGAAAATACCAGTGCGTAAGGAGTTACACTGCCAACCTCAAACCAAGCTGTTTGAATCCATCAGCTACATCATGGGAGAAAGATAGGCAATCTCCTCTCACGTGATTTACTCTTTTTGAAAACCCACTGGAGGGTCAGCTATGAGTCTGTTTGAACTTCACAGCACATAACAACAATAGACAATGTGGAAATACTTGGGGAATCTTAGATTCTTAGGACAGGAAAGGTATTTGACTGACTTGATGCATTTCCATGAGTTGGAACCAGCTCATAGCTGACCCTCTATTGGGCTTCTGACGCCGAAAACCACATGTGAGGAGACTGCTCATATTTCTCCAGGGAAGCTGCTGGTGGATTCAATCTGCCAGAGAGGTGCTGTTGCTTCTGTTTTAGCAGCAGAATTCTCTATGGTACACAGCACCAGCCTTCCCTGAAAGAGTACTTTATTAAGCGCTGTCAAGTCAAAACTGACTCATAGCTGACTCACAGTGGGTTTTTGGAGGCTGTAAACTGATCACATGGGAGGAGACTGCCAATCTTTCTCCAGCAGAGCAGCTGATAGATTTGGAGTACATGCCTGTGGGTAGGCAGGGCAGCTCTGGACCCACTAGAACCACCAGAGCTCTCTTGAAGGGGTATTTGTTATCATTAGGTGCCATCCAGTTGAGTACAACTCACAGCAATCCTATGAACAACAGATCTAAATCCTGTCCTGAGTTGTGCTGCTAACGGAAAAGCAGTGTCCTCTGGTGAAATTTCAAATCCAGTAGCAGCTCCAAGGGAGAAAGATGGGCAATTTCTTCCTGTGCACTGCACAGCCTCAGAAAATCTACTGGAGGATCAACTATGACTTAGTTCTGACTTGATAGCAATGAGAGGGAGAGAGAGTTAGTTCAATCTGGTGTGGACAGCCAAAAGAACAACCCCCCAGAGGATTCACTTGTCTTTAAAGAATTGCAACCAGAGTGGTACTGGGAGGCAAAGACCAGGAGGAACCAGTCCCTGGAGTAGGATATCACGAGTGGAAGAGCAGAGGGTCAGCAAAAGAGAAGACCCTCAGGGAGATGAAATGACACACTGATGTGACAATCAACAAGTTTAAGCACAGCAGAGATTGGGAGGATGGCACAGGATTGGGCAGGGTTTCATTGCGCTGGGGTCCCTGCAAGTCAGAACCAACTCAGCACCTAACAACAAGAGCAATTTGCCACTCCACACTTGGATCCCTTGGGCTGCAATCCTCACATTGTCAGTTGCTTTATTTGCTATCTATCCAGACTATTTCAACCACCTGGGTTATGGAGCACTTGTTACTTTTCAAAGACCGTCAACTCCATTGTTAGGAGAGAAGGTTCTGCATTACGGAATATTACCTGTCTCATTGGAGTGTCATCTACTGGTCTCACTTCTCCATTCTGTTAATCCACATAGAATAGAGCAATCCAAACTCTTATCATTTGCACGCAAACAAAGCTAAGAGAAGTGTGCTTATTATCTATTGTTGTGTAACAAACCACTCCAAATCATGCCATCTGAGGGATCAGGAGGGATCACTCCCTAAGGAGGAACATCAGCAGAGGGTCAGTGAAAGAAAGGAAGACCCTTAACAAGATGAGCGAACACACTGGCTGCAGTAGAGAGTCGGAGGGTGATGCGGGAGCAGGATCTGGGGTACACAGGGTGCCTATGAGTCGGAGTCTACTCACCTGCACGTGTCATTGTTCACAAGGTCAAAGGTTTAGTGTGGATTATGAGTGAATGCAGGAAAAGGCTCATAACTGGATGGAGAAGCAGCATAATAAATAGAGAAGAGCATCAAGTTGCAATGTTTACATGCTATTAAATAAACGATCAACCACCCTGGAAGCGGCAATCAAATCACATTTTGTATTGCGTTGGACAATTCTGCTGCCACAAAGTTTCTCTAATGTCTTAAATAGCAAATATGTCACTTTGATGACTTAGGTGTGCCTGATCGAATCCAGGTCTTTGCAATTACCTCATATGCTTGAGAAAGTTGGGCGTCCAACAATGAAGACAGAAGAAGAATGGATACATTCAAATTGTGGTACTGGCAAAGAATACTGAACATACCACGCGCTGCCAGAAGAACGCACAGATCCGTCTCAGAAGCAGCACAAGCTGAATGTTCCTTAGAAGTCCTCCTATCTTCTTCTTGAGAAGACAAGGATGGTGAGGCTTTGCCTCCTTGACTTTAGATAGGTCTTCAGGAAAGACCAACTGCCAAACAAATACATTTTGTTTGGTATGACAGAGGGTCAACAAAGTAACGGAAACCCTCAAGGAGAGGGATTGCGACAACAACAACAACAGTGGACTCGAAAGTTTCAGGGGGTTGGGCGGGGACCGGGCTTGTTGGTGAGGCAGCAGCGGCTCGGCAGGCGGGTTCAGTCTTGGGGGCCAGGTCGGTGGAGTGGGTGGGTGTCTCCACAGTGAGTGCGTGCGCGGGCCAGCGCTTGTGTCTTCCCCTTATCCCGGTCCCTTTCCCCTTTTCCCCTCATCTACTGCCGTACCCAGCTCCCCCACCCCCGCTTCAGGGGGCAGCAGGGCCGCTCCCTCCGTCCTTCCCTCCTTTACCCACCCTCACCCGCCCTT